GCGGGCCTCCCCGCGCCGTGCACGTCCCCGTCCCGCGCCTCCGCCCCCTCGCTCGCTCACTCCTTCCCGCCCTCCCCGCAGCGCCGGCCGAGCCGGCTTCCCCTCGGTCTCTCATGAATATTGAGCGGCCCCTGTTGTATTTCCCGAGCTCCATTGCGGAAGCCGAGGCTCGCCATATTGTGCGGCGGCGCCGGCGGCCGCGGCGGCTTGTACCTGAGTCTCGGTCTGGCCGCGGCCAGCGGAGTCCCGGGCTGGGGCAGGAGCCGGTGAGTGGGGCGGGCGGGGAGGGGAAGGGCGCGGGAACTGCGGGCCGGGACGTGCGTCGGTTCGGCCGGGCTGCGGGCGGCTGACGGCGGCCTGGGGGCCGGGGGTGTGTTGCCCGCGGGGGTGTGAGGGGAGATGGCGCCGCCGCCCCCGGCCGCTCTCGGGGCGGGGATGGCGGGGGAGGCAGCTTCTCATTGTTCCCATTTCTTCGAGGGTCTCGGCGGAGGTGGTGGGTCCGGCTTGCGGAGGACCCAGTGGGAGAAGGTCAGGGATTGAATTTCTTCCTTCGTTGGGAACCCCTCGCTGTCCGTTCCTCAGCGCGGAGGCCGGGGCCGCCGTGCGGCCCCCTCGCCTCCCGGGGCGGGGGCTCCAGCCTCTCTGCGGCCCCTCTCCGAGGCCAGCGGCGTGGAATGCGGGGTTTTTCTCCGGGCTTCCCCCTCGCTGCCCAGGGGTATGTGTCTGCACCGTGGGGGTGGGGTAGGGGCGCTTTGTGCAGAATGCCCCTTTTCACCCCCGCGGTGCTGGAGTCTGGGTTCGCAAGGCGCTGCTCGGCGTCGGGGTTCCTGGTGGGCTGCCGGGAGACCCCTCCTGGTTAAAACGTTCCTGGAGTGCCGCCTGCCTGCCGGCGAGTATCTGTTGCTGCTTTCTAAAACCGCGAGGTTGCCCCGAAGGAGTCGTGGGGGGAGGGGTTGTCTTGGTTTGTTTCTGATGGAAGCTTCGCGTTTTGAACCCAGTCGTTGACGCTGAGATCTTTGGTACTGGGTGTCGCCAGGGAGCCCTAGCCCAGGCTGTCAAGATACTTTCCCTCCTGTAGAAGTAGTCTCCTTGCTCCCAGAGATACTGTTAGTAAAAATTGGTCTTTGAAACTTCGAGGTTCGTTCCGATTATCTGCCCGCTAAGACCATTATGGTCTTATCGTCTTCAAGCCTTTTTGGGTATATACTGCATGGCTGTCAGAAAGTTTGAGAGATTGTGTGTCTTTAAGGGGTAAAGTGGTTTGAAGATGTTAGGTTTCCTTGAGGTGTGTGAAGAAATTTGTTTGCTATGAAAAGAACAGGCTTGCATTCAGTGTTTTGGTAATACGCTTTACTTTTAAAAATTAAAAAAAATTGAGACGTGGCTTTGATGAGAATTATGTTTAAAACTCATGTCTGAGTGATTTGCATTACATGATCTACTTTTGGTGAGTTCCAAGACGATAAGCTGGAATACTTAGTGTAATTGGTAGATAATCTACTTTTTCCTACTTGCATTGGGGTATAGTTGTTGAATTTTTAATAACTTAGATTGGTGTCAGATCAGGCTTTTTATAGTGAATATTTGACCTTTTGATTTACAAAGATTTTAAATGGCAGCAGTAAGACTTTTGGTGATTCCCTTTTTCCACTGAAATTTCTACTTGTCACAATCAACAGGTACCTTTTAAAATCTTGATTGTACATTTAACCTGTTTAAAGTAAAATAATGGGTAGTTATATAAGACTCCACTTTCCAGAGATAGCACAGCAAATATGGCCCCTTACTTTTTCGGAGGTTTTGAGTTATTTCCTTCAGGTACCCTTGTGGAATCCACCTTTGAGGTTAATTATAGTAGGTGTGAGTGAAATGGAGAATTTATGGAGGAAACTGCCTGAGTAGGCTAGTCTGAGTATTTTAAAAATATGCTGCTGGTCCTCAAATGTACTACACAGAAAAATTTCAAATTAGAGCCGCTAATATATAGACAATGCAGACATTCAAAATACTGAGACATTCTAAGAATTTTGAGTTTTTCTCTGCCTGTATTGAGCACTCAGACAGCTAGTTCCTAGGTTTATGTGGATAGGAATACTGTATAGAGCAGGTCAGCAAATATCTTAGGAATTTCATTTTTGTATTATTGACCTTAAGTGTGTAGTGTCAGGTCTTTCTCTGATTTATTCATGATTTGTGTTTTCATTATGTGGTTTTTGGAGTAAAGGTGATTTATGTCTAATGAATAATATATAACCAGATGTTTTAGTGAGTTTCATTTCTATACATTAGCAAAGAAGCATAATTCCTTCCAGCAAGAGGAGTTAACATTAAAATGTACTTTATTAAAGTTATGGACACATTTTTAGTATGACTTAAAGCACCTCATAATTTTGTAGCAACTCATTAAATCTGGAGAAATTAAACAATGCATCACAGTTTGTCATTTTTAAAAGGAAAAATACTGTGGGATTATGCACATTCTGCCCACATACAGATCTACACTTGATTAGTGTTTATTACACATGGTGTGAAGACCTTGTCATTAGACACGTTAATTTCCTCATTTTTTTTCCATTTCTCTGAAATCTTCATTATTATAGTAACTTATTGAATGTTTATTTGCATTTAACTGAGTAGATCCCCATATAATTTGGGGGTACAAAGGTACAATAACATTTGCCCTGTCCATTTCCTCTCTGTAGGTCAAGATATCCTGTTTATCCCCCCTCATCCCTAGGTTTCCACCTAATGTGTCAGATGGGTCCTTGGGTGTTTCTTGTAAGGAATACAGTTTGGTTGATTTTACATGGACATACTGACTGTGGTAATAGGACTCTTGGTACTAAGTAGAAGGTGGTGGTAGTATGTCTACAACTAGAGCAGGAGCTGGGTAATGAGTCCCTGACTTTATAGATGTAGATGGTAAGGGGAGTAGGTGGCCCACTATCCAGTTTTATGCTTCTAGGAGGAACTCCAGTGGAACTGGCCATGGATTTTCAAGTTTAAAATTCTTTTCACTTTTGCCTTATAGATGTTATAGGCAGTTGAAGTGGACTGGTATGTCTGGGCCTAGTGATAAGTCATGTTGGAAGCTCAGCTATATACATTACTAAAAATTCCAAGAAAGATTCCTATTGCTTCAATTTGCTTTCTCCCATTTCATTTAGAAATGGATTAACAGTATGTTTGCTGCTTCTCCCTATCTTCCATTTTGTCATAATTTTAAAAAATAAGTTTGCTAAGTAATGAAAAATTATTTTTGTAGCTAACCTCAGATTAAATTGTCTAATGAGGATATTTTATTAAGTAACAGACCATGTGAAAACTATCGAAGCATTTTGGTCATTTATTTTCAACAGATGCGTTGATTATAGACTCCTGCAAGGGGGATTTCTTTTTGTTTCTATGCTGTAGAGTGGAGTTGTATTTTATGAAGAGGTTAGATTCTAAAGATGATACATAAAATGAAAGTCACACGTGGTAGAAAAAAAAATGATGCTTGAAAAATCTTATAGGAAGAGAGAACAATATGCCAGTAAGTTCATTTTAGCTTTAGTGTTGGAACAGGTTAGTGTTCAACAAAAGAAACAGCTTTCTGTTGCATTTAGGGGTCATGTTGAACAACAGCAAAAAAATATATATATATATTATTTTAAAAAATATTGTTTTGAATAGAAA